TATAATTCTTTATTTTTTGAGTTTAATATCCAAATTATATTATATATTTTGTTTTTAGTATAAAGGAGGCTCTTAAAAATCTAGGGTTATAAAGAGATTTTTATATTAAGGATATATTAAGAATATATTATATTATAATAATAAAATTACAAGTATTTATATATAAATATATAATATATTAGACTAGCTATACTAAAAACCATATTATATCTATATATAAAGTTACTAATTACTTTATATTAATACCGGACCCGTATAATTATATAACTTTATATAATTAGCTAGCTATAGAAAAGCTTTAAAGCCCGAAACTTATAAAGTGTCTTAAGGGCTTTAGGGCTTCCGAACTATTACTAGTATCCGGTATTCTTTAGAAAAAGAATATAATATATTTTATAATAAGTAACCTATTATAAACTATTTAATCTTTAAGTTAAATAGGAAATCTAAAGGCCGGGCTCGTAATTCAAGTTTTATTAAGGTTATTAAAGTCTTTACTAGCTAGTATTATAGATTTAATACAAATATTATAGGAATTTTATAAATTTCATTTTAATTTATCTAGAAAATATATATAGTATATCTCTATATTTGTTTCGTTAATATTTATATATAATTCTTAAAAGCCGAACTATTATCTAAGAGAAAAGTAAGAAGGCTAAACTAATATCTTTAAAAACTAAGGCTTTAATAAGTTTATCTAGAAAAGCTTACTAATTCTTCTAAAAATAACTCAAGCTTTAATAAGCCAGAAAATTTTGAGTTTATTATATATTATAACTCGTATAACCAGAAATAGAAACTATTTTAATAGGCCAGAAAGAGTTTCTTATATAGCTTACTTATATAACCAGAAATAGGAACTTAAGTTTATTATATAAAATTATCTAGATATAAAAACTCCTATTATAAACTCCTTATTTAAATTAATTAGTTAAACTCATTTTTAATACTAAGTTTTTATTAGGATAACTTCCTATTTCTAGAGGCTTTAGATAAAGTAGCTAATAAGTTTTTTAGCTATTAGTTAAAACTTATTAGCTAGAAAATCTATAAGTAATAGATAAGATTATAAAATAGAACTCTTTTAATTATAATACCAAAACGTTTTATTATAATATAAAGTAATTAGATATAGAAGCCTTATTAAATATAATATAATTCGAACTATAAGTTTATAAAATAAATATAGAAAGTCTTAGTATTTAACTAGTATTATAGTCTAGCCCAAAAGCGCCTATTATTCTTTATACCTAATTTAATAAGAATAAGAAGTACTTATATTTTAATTCGAGAAATAATTAGAACTTTTATATAAACTTAGAATAGTAGTTTATTTTATAAAGAGAAAATAAACCAGAAATATTTATACTATATTAATTTTTAGAAAAAGTTATAATAAATACTATAACTTTTAGAATACTTTCGAGAAAGCTTTCTCGAACCAAAATAGACTAGTTTATAATCCTAAAAGATTTATAGAAGTTTTATATACCTGAAAATATAAGTATTTAAGGTAAATATTATTTAAGTTCTAATCTATAATAAAAGAAAAATAAAATATATAAAATAAAATATATAAAATAAAAGTAAAATAAAATACTCGAATATTTAATAAATAGAAAGCCTAATTATAGGTTATAAGAACTAGTACTAACTAGATATATATATAGTAATATTAAAGAAAAAGTAAGGCAAGAGAAACTAAAAAATAAATTAGTATATATTTTATAAAAGTAAATAGAGAGATATCTAAATAGCCTAAAAACAAGAAATATATATTAAAGAAATCGAGATTAGAGAGAAAAGGACTATTTTCTATAAAAATAAGTTAGTATATATTCTAAGATAAAAAATAGGGGTATTTAGTAATAGCTTAAAGACTTTTATAAATATTAAAGAAGAAAAAGAGGTATTAAAGTTTAGAGGAATCTAAATAGAAATTAGCCTCTTTTTTAGAAGTTCGAGAGAAAATACTTCTAAAGAGTTTAAAGATATAAGAGGTATTAGAAAAGGGAAGAAGATATTAAAGTTTGAAAGAATCTAAATAGAAATTAGCTTCTTTTTTAGAAGTTCGAAAGAGAATACTTCTAAAAGGCCCAAAGGTATAAGAGATATTAGAAAAGAAGAGAAGGTATTAAAGTTCGGAGAAATCTAAATAGAAATTAGCCTCTTTTTTAGAAGTTTAAGAAAGGATATTTCTAAAGGGCCTAAAGATATAAGAGGTATTAGAAAAGAAGAGAAAAGATATTAGAAAAAAAAAAAAAGATCTAAAATTTAGCTTTCTAAGAAATAAGTAAGTTAAAGACTTATAGTATAGAAGTTCTAGATAAAAGTAATTCGGAAGTAGTAATTAAATACTAGCTTTTAATATTATTAGTAGAAGTATTAAAGGAGAAGAGGTTTAAAAGAGGGATTTAAAAAAGGAATTTAGAAAGATTTAAAGAAAAAGAGAAAGGTTTTAAGATAATTAGATACTAGCTTTTAGTATTAATAAAAGAAGTATTAAAGAAGAAGGAGTTCGGAAAAGGAATTCAGAGAAGAAATAAAGAAGAATAAAAAGAAAGAAAGAAAAGTTATAAGGTAATTAGATACTAGCTCTTAGTATTAATAGAGGTATTAATAAAGGTATTAATAAAGATATTAATAGAGAAGGTATTAGTAAAGAATAAAAGCTTTTAGTATTAATAGTAAAATCGAAAAAATATAAAAGAAAAATAGAAGTTTTAGAATAAAAATAAAATAGAATTATAGTTTTATAGAAAATAAAGTTACTAATATAGAATAGTTATATTATTATATAATTCTATATTTACTTTTACTATTTATTAAAAATATATATTTTTTAGGAGAAAGTATTATTTAGAATTCTTAAGTCTTTCTAATTTAATAACTATATATTTAAAAAATAAGAAATAAATATAATTATATATACTAGAATAAAGAAATTCTTTTTATCTAAAAATTATAATTATAGTATTACTAAATATAAATATATAGAAGTTTATATAATAAACTATATATAAAGATTTAAGAAGATTTAAATTACCTCGAATTATTTATAATTAGTAAAGTAAATTAGCTAATTATATAAATTAAATATAGTTTAATTATTATTAGTATATCTCAGCTTTTATAAATTAGTAAAAGAAAGATTATTTTTATTTTTATTTTTATAACTATAATACTTAAAATTATAATTTTTTTTATATTTAAATATACTTAATTTAGGGCTATTAAATACTAATATTTCTATTTTTAGGTTTTATTTATTATAAATTTATTCGGGTTTAAATAATTATATTAAATATATATTTTTATATTCTTGTCGGTTCACCAGTAATGCATGGCACCGTTACGTAGGCGTGGAAGTGCTATTTGCGTAAGGTTAGTGAAGTTGTTGTTCAGAAGTAGGGATCGCAGTATCGTGGTATTAATATGCGATCCCTAAATCTGCTAAGCCTAAAGGGGTCTAGTCTACTGGTCGAGTCACCAATGGGACGCGAGGTCACATGACCATGTCCCGTATCCCATGTCCCATTGCCCATGTCCCATTGCCCATGTCCCGTGTCCCGTGTCCCGTGACTACGCACGTGACTCCCAGAGGAACAGCTATACCAACAATTCTAAAGATAAATAATAAAGATATAGCTATATTAGCTTTAACTTTAGCTTTAACTTTAATTCTAATCTTTTTCCGAAAATAACTTTAATTCTAATATATAATACTATTATTAAAGCTCTTTTTTATTAAAGATATATTAAATATAGCTTTAAATAATAGCTCTAATAAAGGCAAAAGTAGTAGAAAAAGTAATAAAGCTATAAATAAGCGGAAAAATAATATTTATAATATATTCTCTAATAATTCAGACTTAGTCTATAATATTCTTTTCTATTAATATATTTAACTAATAAATTCTTTTATTACTTAATTTCATTCTTATATATAATCTTTTCTTTCTTCTTTATAATAATACTTTAATTTCCTTATACTATCTAATAATACTACTAAAATAGTAAAGTAAATTAATAATAAGACTAAAGTTAGAGAAATAAAGCTATACTAGGGTAGGAAGCTAAAGAAATTAGAGAAAGATAAGGCAAATCTAGAGGCAAGTTTAGTATATATTTATAGAACTAAATTCTCTTAAGCTTATATTACTTATAATAATAAGAAGAGACCAAAGGGCTCTTTTAAATATTATATAATTATAGAAGGCGAATTTAATAGCGCTTATATAAATTATAGATATAATAATAATAGTAAAGTCTATACTTTCTATTAACTTAATACTAATTCTACTAAGTCTGGAAAGCCTTATTCTATATCTATAAAACCCTTTATACTAAAGCCTCGACTGCCTATAAGATATAAAAAGCAAGTATAAAGACAGATATAAGATTAGAAGGCAATAGGGAAGGAGGTTATAGCAGAGGAAGGTAAGGATACTAGAAGAGAAGGAAATAAAGGAGATATAGATAATTCGAGTAATATAGGTAGTATAGAGGATATAGAGAGTAAGGGAGATAGAGATATGCCTCGTAATTCATGGGATTTGCCTTACGGACTATGCAAGCTAAGGGGGGGCTAGGAGTAGTCGAGAATAAGGCATATATACTATACTTTTTTTTTAAGTAAGGTATAGGGGGGTGCGGGCGCGAAAATCAAAAAAATCAGAAAATCACTTTTCGCTTCTCGGTTTTGTCGACTAGCCCGCTAATGGCCTCAGTAAAGGCTACTAAGACTGTTCGTCCTTTCGAAAGCACTTGCGGTTAAAAAGCGCCGTGGAAGAAATCAGTATCTATTAACAACAAACCTGACCATATCGAGAGACTTTGCAGCTCTCCCTTCAGACAGTAGCCCTGTAAGTCTGATAAGCAAGCTTCTAGCTCTAAGACCATATTGACCCTGGATCAGCTGGAATCAAGTCACTCTGCAAGAATCAGCAGATAGAATCTCCCCCAATCTAGATGACCTGAACAACACTATTCGGCGGATGGCCAGTGACATCCATTCCAGCATTGAAGATCTCCAGAAATCTGTTCAACCCACCAAAACAAAAGACGATATCCGCGTTTTGAGTAATCTGGAAAATTCCATTCGTTCATCAGCGGGCGTTGTCTCATCTGCGTCCACAATCGTAGGTTCACCAATCTTCTGTGTCGAAGGTGGAACTGCATTACAAGGGTACTAGTGACTGAGAAATGTCTCTCAAACAGTACTTCCCATCTCAACCAGGTGAAAATGCTGACTCTGAAAATCTGCAGGTAGGCAATGGCACAGCAGAGCACAATTCTAGGCAGTATGGTTCAGAGTTTGGAGACGTTTTCCCATCACAGCCTGGCGAAATGTTGTCAAGATGGGCAACTTCAAGCACGGTATTCGAATTCGAGGACCCGCAGGGCTCGCAATCCCATACTTCTCAACGGCCTTCTATTGGTGCACCTCTTTCCTCCGTTCAGGAAGGCTTTGAAGCTGAAGACGACCCAGTCGACTCGGATACTGAACTAGAGGAAGTAACCATGCTTGCTCTGTTGAAACGCGGCAAGCAGAGGCTCGAACAAAACGATTTCCCAGCTGCCGAGCGCCATTTTTTGAGTTGTCTCAACAGGCTACAAGCTATTAGACCTTCCCTTCCTGCGAAGCGCTGGTTGAGTATCAACTCAGAAGTCACCCCACTTCTAACCTTTGCATTTTCTCGCCAAAGGAAATTGGAAGCAGCTCAGTCTCTCCTCATGGAAAGAGTTACAAATCCACCCAATCCAGAAGACATTGATGAGGTCCTGTACTATACATTTTCCCTGGCGGAGGTGCTCTTTGCGAACGAAGCGTATTCGGAAGCCATGTTATATGGTAGACGTGCCTTGAAAGGCTACTGGAAGCTAGGCAGCAAGGGCTCACGCGGAGTAGAGAAAGCTCTCGACCTTCTCATACGTGTATGTCGCCAAGACGGCAATAAAGACGACGAGGACGCATATACAGCTACTTTGGCCGAATTTGAAGAGCGAAACCCTTCCAGGCCAAAGGACGAGAGGCTCACACGTTTAAATTCTGTCAATGCGTCTCAACCTACCCCAGAGGCAAAGACTGTCTCCGAAAACCACAATCCTTTTTCCGATTCCCCTGCGATAGCAAAGTCAACACCAGAGGAGACCGTGAAAAGCTTTGCTGACACTGCCAATCGATCTCCGCGTCGACAGCCGCGGAAAGTCGACAACAGGCTCAAGTCCCAACCTCCTCAAAAGACAAAGACCGCCTCTGAAAATTACAATGACGATTGGGATCCTTTTGCTGACTCCCTTGTGAGAGCAACCACACCTGAGGAGACCGTGAAAAGCTTTTCACAACGTCAGGTAATGGATGAATCCAAAGTCAACGATGATCACGGCTGGGATGCTATATTCGCAGGACTCGACGATGTCGACCCCCCTCCGACAGCAGATTTGACACCAGGAGACAGGATAAAAAGCTTCACTGAGACTAACAGTCGATTGCCTCGTCTAGCGGCAGGAAGTCGGGGCTGTGTCTCAACCTCCTCCAGAAGCAAAGACTACCTCAGGAATTGACGATAGTCACAACTGGGATGCTATCTTTGCAGGACCTGACTCCCCTCCGACAGTAGATTGGACACCTAGTGAGAGCATAAAAAGCTTGGCTATGACTAATAGTCGGTCGGCGCGTGCCGCTCTGTCGGCGCGTCGAGAGCGGCAGGAACTTGGCAGCGGGCTTAGCTTTCAAGATTTGACGAGGAGTATGAAGCCCGACGGACCGCAACGCCAACAGAGTGCTCCGAACGTCCTCATTAATCGTCCATTGTCGGCCACGTCCACACCTTCCCCTTACAAAAACCAAAGCAGGCCGCAAAAATCCAAAGATTACGATTCACGAACTAGCGTCGACGAGTTCTTGAATCCAAAACCACCTATGTATCCGGACATCATTCCCAGCGACGATATTGTTCCACCTGGAGGTTCATCTCAGAGACCAAGTCTTACATCAAAGTCCCTCAATAAGTTCGGCTCTTCCTCAACTTCATCTAAAAAAGCGGCGAGCCCGGGGACCATCAGTTGGCTTGCCAGAAGCTGGACGAATAAGACTAAAAGTTCGTCGACGAGTGTTGACGACGCGTCGACTACCGCTGTCGTGAACACAATTCAAAGTTTCCCAAAGTAAGTTCTGCTTCAACATCCATATATGTGGAATTTGGCTAACTCAGTACAGCTCCAGGAATCCGTAGACTCCAATTATGACGGAGATGGTGGAGATCGCCAAAATGGCATGGCTCGTAAGCATAGTATCAGGAGGAATGCATCAGGCCCAGGTATTTTGATTTAAAACGAGTGAGTTCTACGAGATCGCCTCAAGTTGCTTAAGTCTTACCTGCTTAGAGCTCAGACCTCGTTGCTTCCTGGTCAGGGATCACTGTGATCTCATATCAAAAACTCTGAAGGTTTTCCGATACAGAAAAGACGGCGTTGATGGTCATCGAGGTAGGGAGACACCCACTAAAGGATACTGCTGCGTTGACTAACAATTTGATAGTCATCGATTTCGAGGCTGTTATAGATTTCACTTTTGAAGAGTCGGCCCTCAGCTAAGTGCTGTATGGAGTGGCCGCAGGAAGTAGCCTGAGCCTCCCATAGTGTTTAGTGGCAGTTGATAGACTTCTTTTCCAATTAGGTCTGCTCGAGGCTGCAATAAATAACAAAGGTAGCATGTAATAACTTTTATTTATATGATAATAAATTTCAAGATTCTAAAATTTACAAGATAAGATTGTCGCACTTTATTTCGCACCTTCTATCGTCCTTGTTAAATAATAGAGTCTACTTACTCGAGCCATAGTCGGAAAAAGGATATTCCGGCAGGGATTAGGCTGCAATCACTTCAGCCGTGTCAAATCATCGGCCTCCGATGAACCCCCTTGCCATCTTCATGATCTTCGCCTTCGACGCTACCGCATCATTACCCTTTTAAGCACAAAGATGTACTGGTGCTGAAGTTTTCTACAGGGATTTGTACCGACGACACTAGACTTCTGTCTTCCCCAAAAACCTACGCCCACTGTGCTCCGCGCGATAATAGACTGATGCCACACCAGGCTGGACTCAACGACGGATATCACAGATCTCAAATTCTTCAGTATCCAATTTAACCACAGGCCGCCCGACGGTAAAAGCAGAAAATAGCAACAATGCCGTTCTTCTGCGCAATATCATCAACCTACAAACCACTTCGATACAGCCGACGCGAGATTCGGCTACTCCAAATTGAACCTGCCTCTGATCCTATCAAAGACATCGAGTGCCGCCTCCTGACTGTTTCGTTGAATGACAAACCTTGTTTCAACGCCCTTAGCTACATGTGGGGAGATCCAATGGTCACGGAGCTGATATCTCTGGATAACGAAGAGTTATTGGTTACAACTAGTCTCCACGCGGCACTCCGCCAAATGCGAGGAAAGGCTGAAACGATCATTGTCTGGGTTGATGCTATATGCATCGACCAAAGTAACATCGATGAACGTAGTAGCCAGGTGGGCATGATGGGAGCCATATATTCGAGTGCCCAGCTCGTCTACGCCTGGCTAGGGGAAGGAAATGCGGATACAGATGCTGCTATTGAGATAATCCAGAACTGGACGGTCGAAATGGATAAGCCACTGGCTGAAGTCGAAGATCCAGTCGAATATGTTTCTCAGCTCGTCACAGAGGAAAGTATCAAAATGCCACTCACCCAGGCATTAACCGGATCTATATTCGATCCTCTTCAATCGTTTCTGAGCAGGCCGTACTGGCGGCGAGTGTGGACAGTACAAGAGCTGGTTTTGTCATCGAACGCTACTATAGTCTGCGGTAAACAGCAAGTTTCATTCCAAAAGATCATCTACTTCAAAAGCCTATGGGATATTTTAAAGATCGTTACAGATCGTATAGGCGAAATTGGTGGTCTCAGGTTTCCGCCATTTGAACTTCCACGGCCTCCAGCATTGTCAGTAGCTGGTCTTCACGAAACAGATCTGCCGAGGCTGCTCAAACGCTGTCGTGGATGCAACTCAACTGATCCGCGAGATAAGCTTTATGGCGTTCTGGGCATGTCCGGCTCAACGGGGGAGTTAACTCCCGACTATGCAAAGCCAACTGCGCAGGTCTATGTCGAATTTCTGCGTCATGTCATCGACGAAAAGAAACAACTGCTGCTCGATGGTTCAAATGGTATTGGGTTGAATTTGCGAAAGACAGACAGAATCCCTGGCCTACCTTCTTGGGCTGTCGACTACTCATATAAAGAATTGGAGGGTAGTTTCAGGGACTATAGTCACTGCACGAGAAGTGCGGATTCAGCCGCCTCCACTACAATCAGTAGCACCTTGGATCCCATGATCTTATCGACTCAGGGGGCTTTCCTCGACACTGTGAACTCATTCGTGCGGGTTCATATGCCTGCCGTTACAAAGAGCGGTTGGCGCCAGGGCTTTGATTTTGTGCAGAAGGTGCTCACTGGATCACATTACCTGCACAACAATAACTCATCAAGCGACTCTTACGACCTTATCTCCTTGTGGGACTTCGTAGTTCGCCACTGCGACGGGGTGCATCCCAGTGGAATCCCACTTGCTCAAGCTTTCTTTCGACTCTTTGCCGACTATACCTCGTAACATATTGCGAGTACGCATATAAAATAAATCTCCTTTCAAGAGATGACTCGCAGGGACTTCTACAGAAATGCGGCAGGCTTCGTGCTTTGGGTTGCTTCTATAGCAAAAGCAAAGAATTACCAGCATCCTCGGTTCGAAGCCTTCTGCAAGAATGTTGATAGTCGCTACCCTTCACTTAAAACGAGCATAGTAAGGGATATGCTTGACCTAAGGCCAGATAGTCCCGGTGTTGCATGGTTTCTAGCAACTATGGGTACCGTGGATCATCTTCACTCTCAGTGTGACAGGATAGGCGGGCCTTCAAATCTTTTGGTGGTATCACAGCAAGAACTTCTAATGGGGTTTTGGGGTAGTCAAGCCTCCGAGTATGAAGAGCTATCCTGGAAGAACCCTGAAGGTCATGATGACCACTTCACGGGGACACTTTTCGCCGGGACGATGTTGGAAGTTTTAGAACAAAAAGCCGTTTTTGTTACCCGGTCAGGTCATGTTGGTTATGGGCCAAATGGAATTCAGGAAGGTGATGAAGTTTGCATCTTGCCCGGATGCCAATATCCAATGCTCGTTCGGAAGAAAGGCCAGGCGTATCAAGTAGTGGGAGCTTGTGTTGTATATGGCATCATGGGCGTAGACTGGACAGACCACTTGAAGTCAGGAGAGGTGAAGCTGATGGATATACATCTTATTTAAGTTGGGCTGCATAGCTGTCCCACTAAAGAAATAGAGGTCAGTTTTGAATAAAGGTAGTAAACTAGATTTGGAGTAGGAGGTCTTGGGAGGAGGTCGTGTTTGCTGTTAAAAAAAATCCTGTTGACCCAAATTGTGAGAGCCTTCAACTAGCAGCACACTTTTCCCATCTCAATTTGGGCCATCCATCTTTATCGAACTTTTCATTTAGTTTGCTGCTCCCTTTGGCATTTCTAGCCGCTCAACATGACCACTTCTGCATCGTCCCAGCTCGCATCTCTCCTGTACCGGAACTCGAGGCTTTGAATTCCACTTCCCCCTCTAGTGCGCTCTACCTGGATCTTAGTTCGACTTTTCCACAGTATTCTCTCAATCTGCCTGCTATATCCTGGTGGGAATCTGGCATACTATTGGATGAATTGCGATGTCATTTTACTGATCAGCGGGATATGTGCTAGACTAGACTTAGCCACATTCGTTAGCTTACTTTATAGGGTTTGATTTATTCGCTCTCGAGTCGCTTTAATTCTTCCCATCATTCCCGTTTCTTAGACGTCAAGAATTTTAAGTAAGATCTATCTCTTGTCTTACATCCAACGATATGTCTCCGTCTCTCCGCGACCAACTCCTGCAAACGGCTCACGCCTACCTCGACGCTCACAACAACCGGGATTTGGAAAAAATCCTAGCCTTGTGTGCACCCACATGTGTTCACCGCGCCGGACCACCTACTGTCAAGAGTCCTGACCGCAACAATGATGAATACGCCACCTTCAACGTGGAAGTCTTCAAGATCTTGCACACGTACCTGGCTACGATCACAGATGCCGTAGTCGACGACGTTAGCAAGAAGGTCGCGTTGTCTGTGGATGCAAAGGCGACCGCTGATGCGGGAGAATATGAGAATGAGTATGTCATATTGCTGAAGATGACGGAGGATGGGAAGCAGGTGGTGGAGCAGTATGATTTTGTGGATAGTCAGAGGATGATTGAGTGGATGGGGAAATTGGGGGTATGGTCAAAGGAGATGTGGGAGAAGAAGTAGAGGATAGAAGAGCCTGATTTCAAGATTGACCCTATGATATAGGATGAGGAGAAGATGAATGAACATCGGACTCTCTGGTTGACAAGAGCTGACTGCGAACAGACAAACAAGGGCAAAATTTTAGATTAATTATCAATGCTATCCGAATATGAAATAAATATTCGAATGTATTGTTCATCTACTCCGAACATGCTTATACGTGGTAAAAGAAGCGCTTCTGAAAGTGAAAAAAAAGGACTTCTGAGATGATATTGAATGCAAGTGTCCTATCTTCAATCTCATCTCAATTTGGTACCTCTCCTTGTAGTATTATCCTCCACTCCCTCACACCCTAGGCGTTATTGGGAATTTTTCAATGCCTTCAAATTTTGAGGAATGTCGAGTAGTGTATCAAGTTCAGCATAGCACGCTTTTCAGCTTCAGCGCTTCTTCCTAGCCTTTTAACCTCATCTATTCAAATCCTTCTCATCATCCCCCTTCCTCTTTCTCCTTTTCCCTTCAACCTCCACACCAGGCTCGACCCTCAACCCCGCTTCTTTCAAAAGGGGCAAAATCCCCTTGCCGAAATATTCCAAATCCGCTCTAAAATCATAAAAACTAAGCTGCACCCCATCAATCCCCACCTCGTGCAGCTTAGCCAACTGATCCACAACCTGTTCCGGATCACCAATAATTTCAATATTCCCACCTAGGCCCAGGCCCTGCTTATGTCTATTATCTTTCCTGCCTCGCCAGGCATGAGCGTCGCTATCCCACGCCTTTGCATTAGTGTTGCCGAATGTTGCTTTGCTATCTTGCTTCGGCTTTCCATCCGCGGTACTCTGCGCGTAAGCCTCTGCTTCCTCAGGTGTATCACGCGATACGATGATAGGGTTAATCAAAATCTTGATCGTGCGGCCTTTGGCTTTAGCTGCTGCTCTTATAAGCGCAATATGCTCTGGCAGCGTGTCCAGTGCGCTGTCGATATGCGCTCCTCCCGGGGATGTGATGAAAATAAGGTCAGAATACGTGGCTGCGAAGTCGATGCTAGCTGTTGAGCCTGTGGCGTTTACCAGCACTGGCCGTCCGTAAAGTGGTTTAGGCTTTATCCACACGTTTTCTAACCGCCAGGGTGAGACTTTTCCTTCATATGTGAGGTTCTCTGTCTCGCCCCATAGGCTGTTCACTACGTCGAATAGCTCCCCTGCCATCTCGTACCGTTTGTCGTGCTCGATGCGTTGGCGGCCGAACATTTCGTGCTCGATGGCACGGTGGCCGGTCACGATGTTGATTCCCCATCGGCCTTTGGCGATGTGGTCTAGCGTTGCGCCATATTTGGCGATATGGAGAGGGTGGAGAGGTCCGCAGAGAACGTGCATTGTCGAGATGAGCAGAATCGATTTGGTGGCTGCTGCCATGGTTTTTCTTTTGGGAATTGGAAAATGTGAGTCCCTCAATCCTTCATCGCAAGCTGCACTCGGGCGTTCAAGAGCTCACACTTCCTGATTTATAGTTGGTCAAGTTGAGATGCAGCTTCAAGAGTGGAGTTATTGTAAGACTATTGCGTGTTAACGATGGCTAATGTCGATCTGAAAGCCAAGGGCCGTTTTCGGGGTTGCTGCCGAGCACGCCATTATGGCCCAACTTGGGAATATGCATGTGGATGCAAGGGTGGGGAAGACATTTTGCTTGCCTTCTGTTCATAAAATACAGTATATTTAACCTCATCAATTATCCGAACACGAAGCAGGACAGAATTTCAAGTCTAGATGTTGCATTGCACTGCTAGTTATGATCTATTGACCAACTCAAAGTACAAGTACGGGGTGCACGCAGAACTCAGTACCGCCGCTATGCTCATCACTATCAGCAAGTACTACACATATTGAATTTTTGCAAGCCTTGCACCTTGATCTTCTGCGGAACACCTGGAAAATGGCATCTCTAAAGTACCTGGTATACGCTGAGGTGCAGTACGGAGAAATATTTCAAGCTTCGACCATTCAGCCTTGATTCTTGACAGAGGGGGCGGGTGCAGGTCCATGTTGTGCCAGACGGGATACTGTAATGCAACGAAGAGATTTTCTAGGTGCACGAGGTATGGAATTGTGATTCTCCGAATAATGCGCAGAGTGACTATGTGGAGCAGTCCAGCAGTAGCAATTCACTGTCTTTACACACATCGCCCAAGAATTGAAAAGGCGGTAGTGATAGATAGAAATTGGAATAGCGTAAGCACTCGAAGCTCGAGAAGCAGGGAGCTCACATTGTAGCCTCTACTTGTTGAACGGGGTTTCAAGCAAGCATAATACTACAAAAGAGCAAATGTGAAAGTGAAGTACATGGAACATTATACTCAAAGAGAGACCTTAAAAAGACTATAGATAAGTGGAATATGATATCAAGCAGCTTGACTTGCGTCCACCAAGACTGGAAGGGAGCCAAGAGTAGGAACCCCATACTTTGGCCGAGCTTCCAACTTTGAAGGGTACCTCGCTTGTAGAACCACCGGTTCTTTATGCTCATTCGATTTTTCGTCATGGTTCTCTTCTATATGACAGCACCTCAGCATCGAATTATTGTTGCAGTATATCCACACCAACTCAACGCATCATGATATTACGGGCCATCCTCGAATTGAGCACCGTCAAGACCTCCAACTGTGCTCTGCTGGGATATTTATATTGGTAAATTGTATTCCTTGTGCGCTGGATGAAATGCTCGTTGTTTCTACGATCTTCGAGAGGATACATCCATTTTTGGGAGGCCTCGTATATGTTTGACTGTAGCCCGTCATTCGTTTTCAATAGTAGCTCTCGACCTGCTTGTTCCGTGGCGATATTCTCTACACAGTAGAGGCGCGAAATCGGATCTCTGCTGAAGGAAGCTCTGCTCCAATGTGCTAATTCCACCGTTTCTTGTGATCTGTTCGCAGGTCTTGCTCGGTTGCGTGGCCAGAATCCCTTGCTAGCCATGCTCCATTGTGCACTTGCAGAAGCCAGAAAGCAGGTTCAAGTCAGATCAAAGAATCTTGGGGTGCGATAGAGTTGGCAGTGTTTCGTTGCATACCACCTGCTTGTTGTGTCTAGGTTGAAGTTCGTTTGAGTCGTTCTCGTCGCTTCTCATCTGCCTTTCAGCTCTAGCCTGATCTGGCAAGGTCTAGAGTCACATGACTTTCTTCACCTCCTTCCCCCCCGCCTTCCCCACACTTCACAGAATGCATCGACAATCGACAGGCACCATCCCATGCCCAGGCGCGACTCACAATTGCCCATGTTCGTGATGGGAAATCTGTTCTTCCGTCCACTGGCCAGCGACGTTGAGAACCCACTCATACTATCCCCCCCATGAACAATTTCGAGTGGGTCCCTGGGTAACGCCACCCTGAAACCTCGTTTATATTCCCGAGTTGGGGAATATCAGGTGCTTGTGAGAAGTACTATTCGCTGAAGGCCCTTGACATGGCCAGTGCTTGGGTGGTGTTATCCTTGGACCCACTCGAAATTGTTCAAGGGGGGGATAGTAAGCCAAGCTGTTAAGAACGAGGCGCAGCACTATCGGGCTGTTCTGATTGGCACAATTCGGTCAGCGATGCAACTGACCACTGACTCGTCGACCCCAAGGCTGAATCTGCTCACCGAGGCCCAATCATGATCGCTTCCCCTTCCCCCCACAGGGCCAGTGAGGCTCTCCAGGGCCTGAGACCTTGGATGGCCTGCAGCAATGCAGAAAGTGTCGCACCCAGGCATACGAATTTTGTGCACGCCGGTAGTTGACCACATGAGGTTCGGATGTGCAAGCCTTGGGGAGCAAGAAACCTCTTCACATCGTGAATGCTCAATGGAAGGATTGATTCGTAGTTGACTGCATTGATGCTTTGAACCTCGTCCGCACATCAGCCCACCATGGATCCCCTCTCGATCGCGACCTCGACGATCACGTTGATACAAGCAGCTGCTACGGTGTCTGCGGCTCTCCACGAATTCGTCGCAACCTTTCGCAATGCCGATTCGAGAGTCGCAGCTCTATCAACCCAATTGTCAAGACTGATCAAATTTCTTGAAGCAGTAGAAGGAACTCTTAAAAAATGCCGTGGACCTCTCTCGCTCGCCTCCATGGACGTGGACCTGTGGCAGCAAAGTCAGCTCTCGCTAGAGGATTGCAAGCTAACCCTGGACGAGCTTGCTAAGTTCATTAACCAGATCAAGGCGGTAGCTAAATCCTCAGGTAGATTCAGAAGAATGAAAGTCACAATGGACTTGACCATATATGCGGGAGACATTACGGGCTTCGAGGAGAAAATTCACAAGTCCAATTGGGCTCTTCAAACCATGCTCTCTGCTATACAAGTGTCAGTTACTTTCTTCCAAATCGCATTACGACATCCCGATTTTCTGATAGCCGAGCAGCACACTTTCACTGCGAGGAAATGAAACCCAAGAGAAGATCCTATATGAACTGGAAATGCTAAAGATCTCCATTAATCAGTCTCGTCAAGCGGCCATATACCACAGCGACGGGTTTTCTCGGATGCTGGAAGATCCATCTGACCGTCGTATCGCCTATAATCTGAAGAACTTGACTCGAGTAGCACAGAGTTTCCACTCCAGCGCCAGCTCGACTGCTAGCACAATCTTCAATGGAACATTATTCGGGAATCTTCAGTCGGATACAGCCATAAGCATCAGAGGGGGATTGAACTTCACTCCTAATAAAAGACAGCAAATTGATCCGTGGGTCAAGCAACAGCGGCGTCTGACCCTGCGGCGACAGCGCAAGCCCCTTCAACGCATCCCCAGCTCCGCAGCAGTATCGATAGTCCGGCCTGCCACCCCAGATCCAGTATTAGCGGACCCATCCGAAGACAGTCATGAGATTGAGTCAAACATGTCAGAGACGGCAGATGATAATGAGGAGCGAGCTCATGAGGCCGAGTTCCAGTCGTACTTATTAAGCGGACACGGAGAAGTAGCACAGGACAGCATGCTCAATCTGGAATTTGCCAAAGCACAATCCATGCTTGAGCTGGCGATCCAAAGGCGTACGGGATCAACCTCAGAAGATTCCGAATTCAAGCAACTCCAGATCCAACTAGCAATTTGCTATTTCTTCCAGCATAAATGGCAGCTTGCAGAACCCTTGGTCAACAGCATTGCCAAGTCCAAGATCAACTTTGATCCAATCGTCTGCAATCTTCTCCACGCATTAGCAATCGCAAATCTCGTAGAGAGACGCTTTGAGAAAGCTATCGTTGTGTGTACGCAGGCACTTTACGGGAAGAGAAGGCTGAAGCGGGACTTTCCAAGGACGTCCGAAACAGAGTGCAATGAGACTCTTGGGCTTCTGGCTACTATTTACGATGCTTATAGTAATCGTCTTGATGCTGAGGCGATGCGTCGGAAAATTTCCAAGGGATTCTCATATTACCACCCGGAGAATGAGGTAGAGTTCATTGTGAAGCACCCAAAATTGTGTCCGGAGGTATTTGGAGGGAAAATTTCTGTGGACTGGAGAAGGCCACAGATACCTGCTGCGAGTTCTGGTGAGGATACCGAACTCCCTACTAACCTCCCCACGATCAAGGAAGAGGACACCCCCAAAGGCAACACAACTACCAAAAAGCCACTACAGACTTTTCAGGCCAAGCTAAGCCTATATCAAAGAGTCAACTTGGACTCTGGGAAGGAGGTCGTTGCTTCGTCCCTCACTAACCGTGATGGCAACGACGAGGCAGGGTCTTTGTATGGGGACGACCGCATCAGTTCCTCGCCATCTCGTCCTAGGATTACACCGAAGCGTTCGTTCGCACGGAGAGTGGTTCGGTTCTTAGGCACTCTGCGGGAAAGGCCCGTCACGCCTCGAGACACCGAAGATACAGAGTCACCCTCACGACCCAGATTTGGCAATGGATTTTGGCCGAGGAGCGAAGGCCAATTCTTCAAGCTAAAGAAGTCAAAGGCGAGATTTCAGAAGAGAGCTAGTGACGAGGGTGATAACAACTCGTTTCCATTCTTGCGTGGTGTGCGGCGCCAACGCCGACTTCTTCTGGCTCAGGCAGCCTCCAGCAATCCACCTGCTTATGAGGAACCTGGCGATCGTAATCCTCGCCCGTGGCGTTACAGCGTTGATACTTGGCTTCGCACAAATCCTCAACATGGTCTCAGTCGGGGAACTCCACAAGTATATCAGCCATCTCCCCCAACTACCACTGTCTCATGGCCAAATGACGAAAAGACGGATTACGTTGAGCCTGCACCAGTAGCATGGGTGCCAGCTTCTCGAATACTCCTCGCCCACGAAATTGGAGGTAGACAAGTACATGAACTTATGGATACCTCGAGGCCAAGTGAACTTATGGATACCTCGTTGCCAGTTACACCTCCAGAGGCAGCTCTCCAACAGAGTCCGAGCAGTGCCTCCATAATAAGTAGAGCCTCCACAATAAGCAGGGTCTCCATGACGATCGACGACGACGGTGAGGGTCAAGGTATCACTTCGCTTAGGCTGCCATCGATCAGGACGACGGAAAAATTTGGTCTACCGAAGACTACACCCAGAAAACAATGGTTGACAGTCGCCATTCCAAAGTTTGTCGCAAGGCCGGGAGGGATTCCACTGGTGGCCCATTACCCCGCAGAAAGGTCTTCGGCATCGGCGATCGAGACCGACAAAGGCGGCGAATCGTTGCTGGCTCCGGGGGTGACAAACAGCTCGCTCCTCGGTTCGGCAGGCCTCCCTAAGGAAGAAGTAATAGCCAAGGTATTCAATGACATCCAAGGCGAGGGCTCGGGCAAACTAGTTGTCGAGGAGAGACTAGATACCGACTTTGATGAGTTAATGCGGAAGGAAGACCATCGTCCAAGAACAACTAAAGTGACTTTTGCAGGATCGTCGACTCGTCAAAGTGGTAAGCGGCAGGGTTGGGTTCCTGCATCTTATTTCAAGGATCTGTCTCCGAGTTCAGATACCGTGGGAGTTCCTCTCGATAGCGGCCGTAAGGATTTGCAGAAGCAAAGTCGGGCCCTGGGTCAGATCCCGTCGGAAAGCAGCGAGATCGATGAATTTTCTCGCGCTTTTCGCAAGGCGATTTCTCCAAGCGTTATGAACGGTGAGAGGAAGGTGGACAAAAAGGTTCAATGCGATGCGCCCAAAACCAGATATCAACTTGTTGATAAAGCTGCTGCCAGGACTGTGGCGCCTCCCGTTTTACCCACCTTCGCATCCAACCACTCATGCTCAGCAGGACAGGATTCCGTTAAACTCCCAACCCCTAATCAGCAGCACAATCCCAATGCAGGGTATTTCGATATTCCTCCCCAATCTGCACGCCAACGAGGGTCCGCAGGTTCAGCACATTGGAGTAACACATCCGATATCGGTCAAGTGAGCCGAGTTTCGAACGCCTCTACTCTAGCAGAGCTAGACGGCGATAGACGCTCCTCAGGATCGTCGTCCCTTACCAAAGCCCTCCAAGAACTCGGCGTAGGCATGTCACGCATGGTGTCGTTCCGACGACGTGGCGATCTACCTGCGTTGCCTAGTAGTCCTAGCCGAACTGAAAACTCTACTTGGAAGACTAATACGGCATATGTTGGCGCAGGGCAAGGACTTGGCGATATTCCCGAACAGGGAGAGAGTAAAATAAATCTGGAAGTGGAGGAAGGGATTAGTAATGCGCAGATGAGGGATATTGCACTGAAGGATTTGCGAAGTGCGATTATAAAAGAGGAGACGAGGGATCTTGGTCAAGATATTACTGAACGAGCGGTCCCGGAGGTTTCAGTGGGCAATGAGCTCCCGAAGTTGGAAAGAACACAAAACAGCCTATCGTTGCTCAAGCTAATGGAAGTCGACGAAGCTCCGTTGAGTGAGCAGATCAATACTGTTCGGATGCCAGTGGACGCGGGATCCATTTCTCCTTGCCTTCCGCCGCAGCAGCTCGGTCGCAAATTCAGCTGGGAGACCATGTTCGAAGATGATATCAACTCCACGGTATCTACGGAAACAGAACAGTCATGTGCTTCATCTGCGCCCGCTCAACTTGAGGTCGTCACTCGTAAGTTCAGCTGGTGTAGCGAAGACAGCCAGCAAGTCACCACACCAGACTTGGTTCGGACATCGAGTTTGTCCACTTCATCCAGCTCCTCGCCATCCCTTGCTTCATCAGCGACGTCCACCTCGTCAGGACCGATGCTCAAGTACGACCGTATTAAAAAGGACTTGATCATTGTTTCCAACGACTCTACTTCTTCGCTGCCGGAGACTCAGAACCTGGATGATGTCTTGGCGCAGCTTTCCGCGAACATTCATAATCGGAAAAGCAAAAGAAGATCTGCTGAACCTCTGTCGCCTTTTAACAAGTTGGAACTTAGGCTCAAATCTAGGCAGCCCATGCCTGAAAGCGTTGCGACGAAGGAGGACGCCGCAGCTCCATCTGCACTCCAACCTGAACTCCAAGCCAACGAATCAATGAAAGCACTTCCTTTCATCCACCCAAGGGATATTTATCGACGGCTTGAACTTGAGAGTGCATCGATTGGCGCTGCTTCGGAAGAAAATCAATGCATGATGAATCGACGACATCCTTTGCGAGAGAGGAGGAAACAGCAGAAGAGGAACCGCGAGGCGGCTGTGCTGCAAATCGATGACGAGAAGATGATGCTGTACCCTGGGGGTATGTCGTCGTTAAGGAACTCGAGGATTGGTGTTGCGTTTTAATTAATGGGATAATGAAGTTTTGGACGACGAAATTTTGCCGGTGGTTTGAACTTTGCTATATGTATTTCTGTTCGTTGTTTGGCGGCGTTGCATGACATCTGGCGTTTGTCGTTCCTGCAGCGCAGCGTCTACTATGATTACGGAGTTGGGTCTTCGGCGGCGTTTTTGGGTCCTGTAATGAGGACGGTCAGCTTCCTTTTCGACTTCTCCGCCTCCGTCAACCGGATCATGGACAAGTCCATTATACAGATGAAAGCAATAAAAATTCGCTTTACTTACCAAAATCTGCTACATTTCCCACTCGCTGTGATGCGAATTTATCCGTCATCGAGTCAAGATCAACAAAAGCAGAGGGTATGAGAGCAAAGTCCTTTTCAGCGTGTGTGTAGGCGCGTCGTTGGTGCCTACAGTCCTGAAGTCCTGCTGTCTCATCGCGAAGTCCTGCAGGGAGCCCTGCGGGCTGTGCCGCGAGTGGTGGAAAGGGGCGTGGCTAAGCGAAGCGGAATAGCCGAGTAGGCATCTCCTGGCTCGTCCGCGATTTTTGTTTGTGAGAGCTGGGAGTTTGGAATTGGTCATGTTTTGGGGTGTGTCTTTGTGAGGACAAGACTGATTCAGCTTGCGGGCGAGTCGAACTGAAAATGGAAAAGGGGATGTATGCTTTTTTATGGGTGGAGCAGACGCGTCACATGACATGTTCTCTGGTCATAGTTAGAACGGATTAAAGTATACTTGATATAGTGCATTCCGTGTCTCAACGATATTCTATATTTCCAGCTTATAGTACTCACGAGAAAGTTTCTGCATGTGAGGTTGTAGGTCCTACTTAAAACCTACAAATGAAACGACTCGCAATATATATGGGACCTATTCCGTTACTTGTTTTAGCGATAACTAATACTTTATTTCTTCTAGTGCCATCAGTGAGCATTTTGTTTTCATGGTATGTGGGTTCCAAATGCGCGACTTCTTTGGACCTTTCTAGAACGGAATTCGTGATCGATGGAAAAAGGAAGTATCTGAGTAATATATAATTACGATCATATTTCATGACATCGTGCTATATGAATTTCCAATCAATTGTCTTTTGAGATCCACGATGACATGCCATTCAGAACCCAACGCTTCTGAGCCTATGTCGTGGTCTCAGTTGATCGCAACAAGGCCTCTCACCAAGGAAGAAGCCAAGCAACTGGGGGCACACTCTGGGATAGCTGGATTTATCTTTGCTTTCATAATTGTGTTTACTTTGCTAGCCTGTATTCCCAAGACGAAACCTCGAGAGCAGACAGCTACTAGGATTAGAGCGGCTGCGGCAGGAACTCAAGAAGAAGCAACCGGCATTCGAGAGGGGGTAAAGAATTACAGAACGCTTCTTATCAAACCAGACTTTCAAGCAAGATCATTACCAAATCAGGAGTTCGGCTGTCGCCTTGGTATCGATAATGCCTTCACAACTCTCGATCCAGACCGGCACAAGGAATTTGTGACGAGTACAAGACAACTTATTCGCTTCACGGCTGAGCAATGGGAGAGCCTTGCAGAGGCTGCCACAGCAAACATCGAGGCCCAAGTCTCCATGGTCGGGCCTGCACAATCTCTCCCATTGAAACCCACTGTTCAGCTCCTTGTCCTTCGCATGTGTCTACTCTTGTTCTTCCCGGATGTTCAAGAAATCTCACACGACGATCTGTTCTACCTGGCGACGTTATCCACCCCAAAGCCTCGCCTGAACGCTTGACTGGGCCAGACAAGATTGAGTACATCATTGGGTTTATGAGGGCCGCGGATGGTGTAGCAAAATTGACTTCACGAACGAAACCTCAAGCTACTAGGACTCCTTCCCAGCACATGTAGAGGTTGGAGCTTCTCACTAGTTGCGTCTCTTCTGTTCAAAATAAAAACTCGGCCTCTTACTCCCATTGTCTCGTCCCCTTTTTGATCTTAGTTACCGTAGGCCAGCGTTGTTCATGGAAATCAGTCGATATAATCTTCTTCCGGAACCAATTCCGTTTTTCTGAGCACTCTAGAGCGGTATAATAGCTAAAATCTCGAATTGTGTATGCCCCTTTACAGAAAAATGGCCTCCAGCCTGTGCCTCTGGATGGTGCACGGGCCACAGTAGTAAACTTCACTACTGTGGCCCGTGTAATGACTAAGCGGGACCGTTCGACGGGACGTCAATTGAATGTTGATTCGTCAAGCCACCACACATAATTAATTGCCACCCAAACCGGCTTTATTATTTTGTTACACATTGCAGTTTGTTGGAAAATCGTATATTATCCAATAGTATGAAAAACCTCGATCTCAAGTAATACAGATCGGGGGTGGGGACGGAGGTAATTCCGCCTCTCCGATTCTTTTAATTTTTTAAACCCTAAAAGTATTATACCATAGAACTCTACTACTGTGGGAGGGAAACTGCGACAAGACAAAAACCCACATAAAGTATACCAGAGCGCAAAACGTGACTTGATAGCAAAACAATAAGATCAAAGGCGTAAATAATAAAGTATAAACAGTATGCAGTATATAAAAGCTCAATTAATTAAAAATGGAGAAGGGATTATTGTCTAGAACTACAGAAAAGCTAGCTTTCTTATGTGATTTCTGCAAGTTACATGCAAAAGGCCCCAGCCTTTATTATATAGCCAAAATATTAAAACTATTAAAATAAAGTAATTTTGATAGAGTACGGCTTGCCGTACTATATCTAACCTCTCATTTATTTATACTTGTTTCCTAAATACCAAAAACTAATAGAAAATCCCTATTCAGAGTCCGAAATAATAAAATAGTTAGAATCATTTTTTATTAGTATTTCTAATTTCTCCTTAATATACCGAAAATATAATCTATTACTTTTAAATAGTTTTATTTTATACTCTCGAACTTACTTAAAGGTAATCCGAATTCGCTTAACTATATTCTTATATTAAATATAATATAGTTCTTCTTATTACTTAATATTTGCCTTTAACTATTAGTTAATCTTAGCCTTTATAGCTAGATACTAAGGTGGCTTATTATAGCAAATTATATTATAAATTATACTAGTATATTTCAAATAAATAGCTTTTTCGAATTTCGTATTATCTTTAGTATTCTTAAATTAACTTTTAATAAAAGGAAAAAGCTTTTAATAAAAAGCTTTAATAATTTTATAGGAGATTCTATTTTTATATATTTTATTCTAAATAGTAACTAGGCTTATTAGAATTATAATAAAAGGCTTTTTGAGTAATAAATTATTATTAAATTATTCTTTAACTATTAATTTATTCGAGAGATATTATTTAATTATAATTTCCGACTTATAAATTATTTAGCTAAAAATATCTATTTATCTAGTTAAGTATTCTATATTTAAATACTTTTTTTTTACTTCTTTTACTAGATATTTATTTAATTTTTTTATATCTTCCAAATCGAAATTATTATAAATAGAGAAATAAATAATATTTTTAAGAACTTTTTTATTAAAGGAAACTACTTTTTTATAGTCTATAAAAAATATAACTAATATTCCGATTTTCTTTACTAAGAAAGAACTTACTATTTAGAGCTTTAGTAATAGCCAGATTATTAATATTGCCTTTATATTAATAGTAATTAATATTTCCAGAAATATAGTATTAGACTAGCTAAAGATAAGTAATTAGATAAATAGAATACTTAGCTAATACTTTATAAAATCCAAGCTATATTAAGGGATTTACTATTAAGAATTAAAAGATTAAGGTAAAATAGCTATTATCTAAATCTCTATACTTTAATACTTTATTTTTTCGGAAATAAAACTATAATATTTTTATTTTTTCTATTAAGAGCTCTCGGGTTTCAAGCTTCTTAATTTATTTCAGGTAATTCTTTTTATAGATATGGCTATTTATATTTAGATTAGAGATACTAAATTCAGAAATAAAAGCTATAGTATTAAATTAGAATTATAGATTCGAATAAATTAATTAGAAATCCGATATTTATATTTATAATCTATAATTTTTTTATTTTCTAAAAAGAAATCCCGTATTTCCTTATTTATTTAAATAATAGAAATATATTTCTTATTTTTAGTAATTTTATAGATCTTAATAATTACTTTTAAAATATCTATAAGCTTAATATTAATTATATAAATAAAGAAAGTATTAGTAAATTACTAAAGATATATTTTATAAAATGCTTTAAGGAATGTATTAGTAATTTTATAATATTCTCGTTTATAAATAAGTCCTAAAATACTATTATATAATTTCTTAAAAGTATAATTATTCTAATAACTAAATATTAGCTTTTATTTAGCTAGTATCTTATAAGTATAATATTTAGATACATTATTAATATTATTAATCTTTTTCTTTTTAGTTCTAAATATATTTCTTTGAGTTTTTTTAGTTATAATATTTCTTTTTTGCTTTTCTTTATTTCATTTCCTAATATATTACTAGCCTTATATTTAAACTAGTATCTAGATTTATACTATTTATTAGAAGTCTTAGGCTTAGCTTATTTTCTTTTTTTATTAGATTCTTAATTAGTTATATTAACTTTATTAGCTTTATTAGTAATACTAGTAATAGGCTTTATTAGATTAGTTCTAGTTTTACTAGCTGAATCCGATTAAGTTATTACTAAAATTATAATAAGAGGCTATTTTTTTAGACTTATTATAGAAGCTAGAAAAAGATTTATTATTATAATATTCTTTAATAAGAATTCCGGAAATATTAAAAGTATATTATTTAGCTTTAAGATTATTAGCTAATAATAGCTTAAAAACTAATTCTTTAGGTTCCGAAATAGTTTTAATATATTTAAGTATTTTAATAATATCTAATTTAATAAATATACTAGTATTCTAATATTTCTTATTTTTAATATATTCTAAAATAGCTTTATTAATTAACTAAATAGCCTTATATACTAAAGCTTTTATTTTAAAAAGGAAGTATAGTTTCTTATAAATATTCTTATTAAGGTTTTTATAGATATTATTAATATATTAGCTAAAGGCTTTATTATATAATATAATTCTATTCTAATTCTTAGTTTCTAGATTATTTATTATAGTCTTAATCTTATTAAGCTTCTTTTATTTACCTTTAGTAATACCTTTAATAATATTCTCGAATTCTTTATTATTAGCCTAATATTTCTTTAGTTTCTCTTTAGTTAATCCTAGTTTAGTTCCGTTTCTAATAAAGGTTTTCTATTTCAAGAGCTTATTATATATATTACTTAACTTATTAAGGATATTTATATTAAATTTAATAATTATAGCTATCTTTTCTAGAGTTAATAGGCCTTTTATAACTATTTAAGCTCTTTTAATATTCTAAACTTTAATACTATTAATTTATAGGCTTTTAGTAATACTATAGCTTATAAAAACTAGCTATTATATTTTACTAAATTAAGGAATTTATTCTTTAGCTATTTTATTATTTTTAAAGGAATTATATAAGTATTATTAATATAATAGTTATAAATTATAGAATTAAAAATTCTCGAGATTATAAGAATTTCTTTTAAATACTTCCCAAAATAAAAAATAAATTAAAATAAACTTGAATTATATAAAAACATTATATATATTTAAGTTTTCTATCTTTTTAATAAGAAAATAAAACTAAAATAATAATATATATAATAGGAAAAATAGATATAATAATTAGATATATTTAAGATAATATAATTAGAAATTAGAAATAATTATAAAAAGTAAAATATAAAATTAAGCTTTTATTATAAAAAAGAATACTAATATATATATTTAAGGAAATATAATCTGGGAAATAATTAAGGCAAATTAAACTAAATAGTAATAACAGGAAAATAAAAAAGTAATATAATAGAAATAGAAATATAATAATAATATTTAAAATATTAGAATATAAAAAAAAATAACGAAATTTATATAATATAAATATATTTCAATTTATTATTTATTTAAAGATATTTTTATTAATTTAAAAAATAGTATAAAAGAAGAGAAATAGTATAAGAAATATATAAAAAATAAAATATATAAAAATACTAAAAATATTAGAAAAACATAAAATAAATATTAATAAAAAAGAAGTTAAAATAACGGAATTAAGAAATAATTTAGAATAAAGTATTATTTCTTCTAAAACTAATTCGTATTTTTTCTAAAAGCTAATTATAATTATTTAATATTTATTAAAATTAATTTTATATAATAGAAAGCTATTTAGTTAATTAGAACTTTAAAATAATATTTATATTTAAGAAAGTAATATTAAAGAATTTAAAGATTATAAAAAAAAAGAATTATAAAATAATATAAATAAAATTTATAGTATTATTATTAAATTTGAAATAGTTAATATAGAATATAAGAAAATTAGGTATTTCGAATTAGTATTAAGAATATAGAAATTAAAAGTATTTTCTTAATTATTTAAATAATATTTAATAATAAGAAATAGATTAATAATAAGAATTAATAAATTATAATAACTTTTTAAAGAAATAATATATCTTTAGTAAAAAAATAGTATTATAATTAGAAAATAGGTTTCATATAAAAGAAATTTCCTTTATATAAAAATAAAAATATATAATATATTAATTAAGCCTTAATATATATTTTTAAAGTAATTATAATTATATTAAAAAGAAAATAGGTTTCTCGATATAAAATAGGCTTTAAATAGACAGATCTAGTTTATCTAATATCTAAGAGATTTCCAGAATTATATATTATTAAAT